CAATCAACACTGTCTATTGAATTTTTTAGGTGGCTGATAGAGTAAGAAATTGTACTTGCTCAGAAGTCACAGCCACCAGGCCAGGATGCTCGGCCAAATAGTGCTTATCTTCTCGGAGATCTTCAAGATTACCATAAATACAGCATTATATGCAGAATATATATAGATTGGTTGTGGTTGAAACAGATAAGATCTTAAACAGCATTAAGCAAAGGAGGGCCTTATAACAAATGTGCATCACAAAAAAAAAAAAAAAAAAAAAAAAAAAAAATGAATAGATGATAGAATGTATATGATGGGACAGATTGCAAGACAGTTCTTGAGACTACCCCCACATTTGGTGCCAACTAGCACCATGGGATGCCAGGAGCAAAATGCTGCAGTTCAGGAACCCACTGAAATGTGTATATATAAATTAGAAAATGCAAGAGAAACCAGTAATATTGTTAATTTCTTATTAGCCTGCATGAATTTTGTGATATGAAATTTATACTATAGTACTTTTGTTAAAACTTAAACTTAATTATTAAGTAGAAGTGTTTTTGTAGCGTTATGAATACTTTATTAATACCATTCAACTACAATTTAATCCCGTTGAATAATCAATCCAGTTTCAAGAAGCAATGAATAACATAGCTGAGAACCTATAATACCTTCTTCAACACATTTTCGTAGCTTGCATGACTAACTAAAGAGAAAGCCAGGACAAAGACATCTGCCCCCCTGTAGCTCAAAGGCCTCAGCCTGTTGTAATCCTCTTGACCTAATGACACATTGGATATCACAAAATTCATGCAGGCTAATAAGAAATTAAATTGCATAAACTGAAAAATAAAATTTAAATTTAACTTAATCTTATAAAATAGAGTTAAGAAAGTGAAACTTGTTCAAACTTGTATAATGTAAATTGATTTTATCTGGTATGCTCTAAGGTCAGAAAAACCAGTCTTGTTCATCAATGCAACATTGAATAGTCACGGGTAACTACTCTCATCTCTCACACTCCTAACCACTCTACATATAAAATGTATATGATATACAAAAATTGACAAGTCTGTGTAAACATACCTGCAGTATCCCAGAGGCCTAAATTGACAGTTGTGCCTTCAACAACCACATTTGCACTGAAATTATCAAACACTGTTGGAACATAGTCCTGATAATACGACAAACACCCCCAATCAAATATCAAACCATAGGGAGCAAAAGGAAAAAATTAGACTCCAAAAAAACTAAAAGGCAGAGAAATTCAACTGTAAAAAGATATTCAAGAGAACAACCCACATGAACAAGTTAAGTCCTTTCACAAGAGAACTGAGATTCCCTTCTCCCCCAACCAGAATGCATGAAAATGAGAGACATTGATTTCATGAAATATAATATTGATATCATCAAGAAGCATAACTGTAGCTAAAAGATAGCCAGCAAAGAGTTGATACCGTGGGGAATTTGTTGCTTGTATAGCAAATGAGCATGCTAGTTTTGCCTACAGCTCCATCCCCAACTGTGACACACTTGATGAACCTCGAAGCTGTTGCTGCCATTGAACTCGAATTGGTGCCAACACCCCAACAACAGAACAACAGCACAGTTCTCAGAAAAGGTGTGTTTTGGTTGAATTTAAGTGATTGGTTGGGAGAGAGAGAAGGAGAGTGAGTGAATGTGTGTGTATGTGGCGGGCACTTCACATGATTCTGCTGTCCCTTTCTTTTCTGAAACAGCTTGTACCATCTTTGATGTTCGGTTGCCTTATTTTTCGGCTTTGGGGAAATTAAATTTGACAGTTAAACCATGAAGATGACATAATGTATCATAAAGATAAATGTGTGATTGTAGCATTTTAATTTTAAATAATGAGTTTGTTACCCACTCTTTGATCACGTGGAGAGATTCATTTCAATTCTTTTTATTAGGGTGAAGGTGGTTAGGTGCATTTATAAGGTAAGCTAACAACCATGGTGGTCACCGTTACCATGTCTGTGCTGTATCCATCATCGTCGTGGGGACTAATATCAGTAAGTACTACTAACTTTTTTATTTATATTCTCAAATTTTGATTTGTTACAAACGAAACACATGTCTCAAATCTCACGTAACATTTACTGTTACGTACTGTATTGCTCAAAAAGGGGTAGCAACAGCAGCAATCGAATCTAAGCATTTTTAGCAATGTTCTGGTTCATAAAGAAACGCATATTTGTTATATATGATTCTTTAGTTTAATCGTTGGATTCATTAATCGAATATTTATGATTAGAGAAATTAGTCTCTTAATTTATTTTAGACTTTTTTCTTTGTTTTTCAAATTTGACTGGACTCTTGTTATTTTAATGTACTGACTGAAGTTGTTCAGTGAGTTTTTATTACCCACATTGAATGAACTTTTCTACCATAAATGTAGGTATTGTTTTTGTATCATCGTTCTCATTTTTCTATTGGTATTATTTCTCATTAAGAAAAAAACTGGTTGGAATGTGGGCAATGATCATTACTATTGGTCACTTTTGAAAAAGAAATCTTTTTTGTAATAGTATTTCATCAATGTGTATGAAATAAGAGAATTCACGCATTAGTGATAGATTTCTATTTTATTTAAATATAGAATCCATAGAACGTAAAAGATAAAGAAAAGAGATAAGGTTTCGTAAGATGAGCAGAGGAAAGGGTTGTGGAATTGTGGTAGCTTTATGGTGAGAAAAGGATGAGGAGGCTACACATTATAGTTTGACATTAACAGGTTGGTGGGGTGATTAAGTAAACATTAAGCAACATGAATAATAAAAGGGGATCCCACAAATGGATCAAGGAACACGCCATGCACACAATCTTCTTTTCTTCTTTTACCCTCTATTTTTTTAACGTCCAATACTGTTAGATGCTTCGTTCTATTGAAGCATTTTATGATGCTTATGTTTGAATACTAGCAATAATGAGCATTCCCAACTGCATTGGTAGCAAAAGATAAAATGAAGTAGAAGAATATAAAGTGGAGATGTTTTTTTTATCATTTAAGTATTTAAAATAAAATGGAATGGATTAGATTCTATTTTCCATTTCATAGGTAAACTACTCCTCTTTTCACCTCTAATTTAAAAGTAAGATATGAGTCGTCTTTATTTTTCTTATCAAATGTAAAAATATCTATAAACAGTGAATTAATGACATGTTTTATTTGATTCCATTGGAATTTTTCGTTATAAAATTAGAAAAATCAATGTGTTATATATATATATATATAAAGTGTTCACAGACAAATCATAAAATAATGAGTTAGAAACAGATTCTGAAATCGTTATCGTATAGTTTTAAAAAATTTATGAAAATTATAAAATAAAACATGACTTTACGAAAATCAACTTTTTGGTTCAAAAGTCAATTATGCATAGGAAATTATTAGCACTCTAAATTTGATATCACGTTTGTCCAAAGGTAATATCTTTAATTAAATGTGCAAATTAAGGTAATATCTTTAATTAAATGTGCAAATTTGAGGTTTTTAGAGTGTTTAATTTCTCTGAAAATAACACTCTAAAAAAATAAAAATATTTTTTTTATTTTCTGGGATCCGACAAGAATTAACCTTCCTTCGTACGTATTCTCCTCTAAAATCAGAAATTAAACGTAACTCTTATAACTATTTAAAAATGATTTAATTTTTTGGAGTCAACCCGATAAGAACTGATTGTATTCCTACATATCTCCAATCATGATGAAGATCATGTAATTCTTAAATAAAATATTGTTCATTGAAAATGTTTATAGTTTTTAAAGATTTTTGTATTTTTTTTTTTTAATTGACATTTGGCATTGATGAAAAGAGTAAGGGCAACCAATGAAGAAAGTTTTGGGGGATTAATGGTGAAAGGGGTCATTAAAATGGGTTCTTTTCCCAAGCCTAATATATATAAAAGGGTATGAAAATGAGATGTGGTGAGTGTTAAAACGTGTTTGGACATGGTTCAAAGGAAAGTAAAAAATGAAAATGGTGGAGTTAGATAGTAAAAACATCTTGGGAGTTGAAAAAAAAAGGAAAAAAAAGGAAAAAAAAAGAGAAAGTAGAGGATAAGTTTCAAAATGAAAAAAGAAGTGTGAAAGCAAATATATATATTTTATATTTTTTGAGAGTTGAGAAAAAAAAAACATATCTCGCTCTTTTTTTTATTTTTCTTCTCTTTTTTTCTTCTTTTTTCGTTCTTCTTTTTCTTTTCTTTAATAATTTAATAAAAATAGACTTAAGTTTTCACCAAAAATATTTTTAAATTAACCCAATTAAAATTGAAAAAATAAAAAAATTACTATATCCATCTATTTTTCAAGCATTTATTTTTTGAAATCAAATTTTATTCATTTAAACGAGATTGGATATTTAAAAAAGTGACGTAAGTGGGTGAAAGGAATAATGTGTTTTTAAAGCTAGAAATGAATAGTTATTCAATCAAACAGATTCTATTAGCATGTATAGGGATGGCAAAAAAATTCCGCGCCTGCGGATATCCATGGATAAAATCCGCAATGGATAGTGATACCTACGGATATTTACTATCCGCAAACACACGGGTGCGTAGCAGATATTTTAATACTCGTTTATAAACGGGTCAGGTGGGGTATTATACTATCGTACCCGCCGGATACCCGCTACTCGCAAAAAATAAAAATAAAAATTTAATTTATATTTTATTAAGTTAAAATTAACATTAATTTATATTTTACAAGATTAAATTTAATTAAAAATTGAATTTAAATTTATATTTAATTTAATTTATATTATATTATATACTTTTGTTGTAATTCTATTTTAAATTTTATTTTAATAATTTATTAAAATATAGTTTTTTTTAAATATTTGCGGGTATCCACGGATATCCGCGGTTTTAAAATACCCGCGGATATTTTTTAAGCGGGTATCCGTGCAGGTAACGGGTAGATTTTTTTTTTTTTTGTCGGGTCGGGTTGCAGGTAAGCACTATCCGTGCCCGACCCGACCCGTTGTCATCCCTACATGTATTGTTTTTAATCATGTGGAATAAGATCTTATAACTTTTTTATAAGAGATGTTATAGTTGCCATTTCATAAAAAATCAAGGCTTTGTTCACTTGAATGAATTTAGGGGAGAGTGATTGAATAGATTTGAGAAGATTTGAAAATAAATTTTTTTGTTGCTTATTTGAGTGGATTTGAAGGTAGGTGATAGTGAATTTGGAAGTAAATTTTTTTAATTTGTCACATCAATCAAATCCTATACTAATTCTCACGAACATTATTTCCAAATTCGCTCTCACTTACCTCTAAAATCACTCAAATAAACAACAACAAAATTTATCTTCAAATCCTCTCAAATCCACTCAATCACTCTCTCCAAAATTCATTCAAGTGAACAAAGGGTAAAAGATGTTTTTTGGATAATGCGTAACTTTTGTTTGTTGACTGGATATCTGAGTTCCATTCTCATCAACCATTTTGTCCAATCCTTGAACAAAGCAGGTAAGAAAAGATATATGTAACATACTAAATTACAGGATCACATATCACAAAATATCTTTGAATAGTAGAAATGAAATGGCTAGAATATAAAATCCGAGACAGCTTGTCAATGATTCTAGCAACATTGGCAGTTCAACATTGAATTTAGCATCTTGATAAAGGGAAAAACCATAATTTATTTCCCATTTATTATCAAAATTCTAAGTGCAAAAACCCCCTTGTAGGATTTTGATGTAGCTACATAGCTCACAAGTAAAAGTTATAAATTATCAGAACTATATTATTAACCCATTTAAAACAAAAATATAGGTTAGGAAGTTTCAAAATCTCATAAGTCACTCACAACACTGACCAAAACATGGTAATATATAAAAAAAAGACCATGACTAATAAAGACAAAATTAACATCCTCCAACTTGATCGGCTAGTTTCATGTCTATTTCCAAAAGTTTCCATGATTTTAAAGAAACTTTACACAAATAATCTACAAGTCCAAACTTGTAAGAACATGGTACTAACAACAAATCAATCCAATACAGAAGTGTAAAATTTAGTCAAAAGAATGATAAACGACACATTAAAAAAGAATTAAACTCTTCGAAAACATAAGGTTTACCAAATATGAATGCCCAAACCTTAAATATTTGAAACAATGTCATGTTGATGGATTTTGATTGCAGCCTTTGTTCATTGAACAATTTATACAAACATGTAATATAAAGTGAAAGACGAAAAACGTGAAATGTGGAGATGAAATTGGAGATTCTAAATCGTGCAAAACCTGAGACAATAATTAGAGAGGAAGAGAGAAAATGAAATCATCGAAGAAATAAAAAACAGAGAATCATTTCATAAGGATGAATGTGGACCATTTTTTCAAAAGAAAGAAGAGAAAAAAAAAAGAGAGAAAGAAAGTCTTCTTGAACATAGATCAAAGAGGAGACACGATACAATGTATCTCAGAGAGAAGACATAGGCGATAATGTTTAAGTATATCGTATGATTGATTGTTTTATGCTATAGACTGAACGATACACTTTTCTCATAAACCAATTTTCTTTGTGATCCTAAGGTTGAGAGATGAGACCTAACGTATCACCAGTTAGATTATAATTAGCTCGCGATTAATTAAAAACTTATTTCAAAATTTATAAATATAAGATAAAAATTTGTGATGTGTGATTGTATTTAATACAATATTAATATCTGAATCTTTAATGACTTTAGTATTGAAATACTTTCTACATGTACACCCATTTATCGAATGATTTTATTTAAAACAGCGTTGAAATATAACATTATTCCATATCATTAAGTTTTAAATCTATGAAATGATAAACCTAATTTCCAAAACTCAAAGGAGAGAAGAAAGTGTAAACATATTAACCATAAAAAAATCCATTTGTTAATACTCATGGAAAAAAAACCACATTTTTTTCATAAGGACACCACAATGTTTGTTTATGAAGTAGTCACATCCCTCGATTTCTTTTCATACATAATTAAACTTGTTTATATTTTTTTGTTTGATATTTTTAAAAGGCTAAAACTCTTTTCATCCTATTATTTGTTTGGAATTAATTAATTAAGTTCCTGATTTTATTTGGTTCGATCAAGTAATTGTATTTTTAAAAATAAATCCAATCAGGTTAAGTTTTTAAGTTGGAGTTAAAAGTCATATCCATATATACCACATATCAATTCATAGTATTTTCAATTTTTTATTTTATTGTTTAAAAACTTTTTTGTCTTATATCATGTCAATTGTTGTGTCACCCAAGTCATTTAATGATGTAACAATTTCATGCATTAGTGTGCATCCAAGAGTCTCTTTTTAATCCAATTTAGTTCATATATTTAAAATTTTGATTTAAATTGAATCTCAATTTAGTTCATATATTTAAAATTTTGATTTAATTGAATCTCAATTTTTTTTTTAAAGATAGAGCTATGTTGTTTTTTTCTCTAAAAATAAGACCAAATTAGTAATTAATATATTTATATGTGAAAATAAATTTTAAATTTATACATCAAAATCATTCTACCTAAATATTAAAATTAATTTTATTTTTAATTTAAATTAAAAATACTTATTTTAAGCTTATAATTTTTTTTTTTATATTAACTATATATAGCTAAAGACCCATTGGTCATACCAATCAAGGTCTGTAATTTTAGTATACTTAAGACAGACACCGTGGACTGAATCTCATAAATCGGATACCAAATGACAGTAATTCTATGGTCCTTTCAAAGATATATCATGGAATTAGCCAAAGTTAGATCTTGCTCAACAAGTAAGTGTGTCATTACGCTTTAGGGTTGATGGACCCATATGAGTTGTGACCTATTTGAATGAACTAATGTTCAATAAGGAAATATTATAAATATGATATGAATGATAATTTATAATTCACTTTTTGCATTAATTGAGTAACGGCTTTGACTATATTCCGACTTTGAGTGTTAAAAAATCTTTTACAGGTATTCTTCCAGGAGTAAAACATTATCGAAAATTGGTGAAAGAATAATATCTTTGTAGAGATGTGTTCGATCCGAACAAAACATAAATATTAAAGATCTAAATGTAAAAGGACATTTTGTAGTTTTAAATTTTAATATTTGAAATAATTTTAAAAAGATGTGTTTTTCCTTTGTTAACTTATTTATAAATTTAATGTGATTAATACACTTACATCTTTGAACTTAATATATATTTTGATCTTTAATAACTTATTTATAAATTTGTTGTGATACCAAATATAAAAATTTAAAAACTACAAGTGTTTACTTTTACATTTTAATATTTTAAAAAAAATATAAATTTGAAATAATAATTTATTATTAAAATTAAAAATGTAAAAAGTAAAATTAATTTAAATATTTAAGTGATGTGATTTGATGTATAAATTAAAAAAAAATAATATATAAATTATAATTAAACTTAATTATTAATTTTATCTCATTTTAAAGATTAACAACATTGTTCCATTTAAATAAAATGAAAAACTAAGTTAGAATTTCAAATAGACAACAAAATTGAATATAAACATAAATCGTTAAACATTTCAATTAACACATTTTTTTTATTGAAAAAGTAAAATCTTCGGACACGAACTTAATTTAAATACATTAGATAATATGACTCATTCAAATTCATATTTTTTTTAAAAGTGATCCATTTTAATAAATCTGAAAGTATATTGAATAAAAAAACCTAGTATAACTATTCATAATTTATTCAATTTATTCTTAAATTTATATTCTTTATTTAATTTGTTTTTATATAACTAAAAATTTATGTTTTTAAACTTTTAATTTTTTGTCAAATTGTACAATAATTCTGTTTGAATCCATTGAAAAAGACTAATTTAATATTTTAAAATAAGAAATTAACTTAGAGTTTTTAATATTATAGTAATAAAATAAAATATGAAAACTAAATAAATAATTTAAACCTAAAATCAACTATTTAAAAGTCATTAATTAGAATATTTAAACGGCATAAATTATAATTATAAAAATGTATTAAAAAATATCTAAAAAAACATCAGAAGTTTTATACATTTATAAATTAATTTATTTACTGTGACATGTAATACAGAAAATCCTAAATAGTACAGTTTCAAAAGAAACAAGAAGGAAAACTAAATAGTAAATTAGTATGAAAAGTGGGAAGACCCGCATAAAACGAAGTTCTGTTTGATTTGGATTCCCTCCTCCGCCTTCATTTTGTTGCTTCTGCTTTCTTTCTTCTTCCTTCTGCTCAGCACAAATTCACGCTTTCCCAATCTCAAATAACAGTAACAAACACTTCCCAAATACGAGATGGGAGGTAACAAACGTAAGAGACCACACAAATCCAAAACCTCCGCCCCGGAAACCCTAGACCACCCCACCCCCGCTCCCTCCCCTGCTCCCGTCACCGCCACTGCCACCGCCACCGCCGTTGCCGCTCCTAACTCTGCCTCCAACACTGCCTCAATGGAGGACGTCTTTTCCGTTAGCAATGTCGAGCTCATCGACAACACCGTCTCTCCCCGCGTTCGCCGCCACCGTGGCCGCCCCAAGAAGGTCCCCGTCCACTCCGACAAACCCCTATCTCTTGCGACGGGGCGCCGCCTTTCCCGTCCACTCGACAAAGGAGACGGAGACTTCTCGGTTCCCGGCGACGCTGGGATGTCCACCTTGGTGGCGATGGAGGTGGACAAGGGGTGGGAGGCGCGGGTGTTGCCGGCTATGGACTCCGTGGTGAAGGTGTTTTGTGTCCACACGGAACCGAATTTCTCGCTGCCGTGGCAGCGGAAGAGACAGTACAGCTCGAGTAGTAGCGGGTTTGTGATTGGCGGGAGAAGGGTTCTGACGAATGCGCATTCGGTGGAACACTACACACAGGTCAAGCTCAAGAAGCGTGGCTCTGATACCAAGTACTTGGCCACTGTGCTTGCCATTGGAACCGAATGTGACATTGGTAACTAACTCCTTACCTCTCACTCTCCTTGTTAACTTGTTTCATTTATCTATTATTTGCCTTTGCAGTATTTTTTTATGGATGTCAAATTGGAACTCGTATTTACGTTAGACAGAAGAAAAAGTTGTCTTTGTGATTCGCGATACTTGGTTCTCTTCTTGTATGAGCATAGAGAATAGTAGTTTTTCGGAAGTTGGCATTCAATGGAGCAAACTGAATCATCTTTACTTCCAGCAGTGCTATTTGATTGAAAGGATTGAGTTTGAAGAAGGACCAGTAGTGTATTTTTAACCTACCGGGAAGGAGGTAGAGAAGTTGCTGGAGGAGAGAACAAAATCATTTAGCTTCTGAATTTAATTGTAATCTTATTTACTTTTAATGGGATAAAAAGAGGAACTGGAGGAGTGGAATCATTAGACCATAACTAATGAGGATTGAGTCATGATTGCCTCCAAAAGAGGGTGCATATGAAATTAAAAATAAAAGAGAATCATAAGACAATAGCAGTGAATAAGTGAAGGGAGCCTACATATATTTGTTACTGCACATGCTTATTATATGAATGAGATTAAAGTAATGTATATAAATATATTTTATTTGCACAATGACTTCATTAAGGATCAATAAATTGGGATTCGATATTTGAAAATGATTTGTTGATATTCTAAGCTATTTTGTGAAATATGAAGAATAAGTTGTGTCAACCTTTCTCGTTAAGGGCTTTTGGTTGTGTTAGCTCATAATGGGTGTTTGCTAACACATTAGGAATCTATGTTAACAGAAAAATAACGTTAAAATCAATGCAAAGGCAACTATCTGTTGCCCCAGGGTCTCTAAAATATTACATATGAGGCTTTTGGTTATACATTCGAACATAGTTCAAATTGATATATTTAATTTTACACTTGCAGCCATGCTTACAGTGGATGATGATGAGTTCTGGCAAGGGATGTCACCTGTAGAGTTTGGGGAGTTGCCTGCACTTCAAGATGCGGTAACTGTTGTGGGATACCCAATTGGTGGAGATACTATCTCGGTGACCAGTGGTGTTGTATCACGCATTGAGATTCTATCTTATGTTCATGGTTCTACAGAGCTTTTAGGTTTACAGGTTAGGTTGAAATTATTAGTCTTCATCTTTATCATTTAATGTCTGTTTGGAAGAGCTTGTGGGGGGGCTTATTTCAGCTTATGAAAATAGCCTAAGATTCCCAGGAGCTCATTTTACCTAAGCTCAATAAGTTTCTTGTTATAGCTTATAAGAAGAAGCTTTTTTTAGCTTATTCCAAAGAGTTCCGTACTTTCATAGTCAAATTTATTGAATTAGCCCTCATGTGATTTGAGCTCACTAAATAAGCATTTAATCAAGTTGTATAACCCAAAATCCAAATTTACCTTTAGTTATGATTCATTACATGTATTCTGATTTCCCCTCGTTAAGGTTTCTTTTGCAGATAGATGCTGCTATAAATTCTGGCAATTCTGGAGGACCTGCATTTAATGATAAAGGAAACTGTGTGGGGATTGCATTTCAGTCCCTTAAGCACGAAGATGCGGAGAATATAGGTTATGTCATTCCAACACCAGTTATCATGCATTTCATCCGGGATTACGAGAAGAATGGAGGCTACACTGGTAATATGGTAGCTACAAACTAAGATATAGATTTCAATTTTAAAAGATGTTACCTGTGTGCTAATTTTTTCAAGATTTGAATCTTTATATACTGAGATGGTTCTTTCTCATTCTGTTGTAAGGGTTTCCTATTCTAGGGGTTGAGTGGCAGAAAATGGAAAACCCTGATCTGCGAATGGCAACAGGCATGAGACCTGACCAGAAAGGTGTGCGCATTAGAAGAATTGATCCCACTGCTCCAGAATCCAAGGTTTTGAAGCCATCAGATGTTATCCTTAGTTTTGATGGGATTGATATTGCCAATGATGGAACAGGTGAGTGGTCATTTTTCAGTTTCTTTATGAATTATGTGCAGAATGTAGTTTATATTTGTTTATTAAAAACTAAAAAAAAAATCTTGAATGGAGTTATCATTTCTTATTTGATGGCAACTCTAATAGAGGAAGGTAGTTATATTAAACATATGACTTCTTTTAGAACAATGACAACATTCGTTAAATTAAAGATGTCGCACTCAGCTCTCAGCATGCTACCAAATTTGTGTCTTTTACATAAACTGTTGGTTTTATGACAAAATGTGCGTTGGTAAAAGAACTTAACTCCTTGGACCCTTTTTTAAGGAATGTCAAAACTCAATATTGGATAGAACTGATGGAGTGTATTTCTCTCCAGATCTGTCTACTTTTTCCATTTGGATTAGGTTTTGTGGTTAAGGTTTTGTGTTACTAATTTCAATTTAGATAAGACAAGTAGAAACAAAACTTTGCCATCTCTGTTAGTCATAGTACATTACTGTATGAATTCTAGATCTTTTGTCATAAAGTAACTGCCTATATTGGTTTACTGTTTTTTCTGTATTTGTTTATTGTTTTAATTAGCAATAATTTTGGCTTAATATAATAATCCATCTTCCTGTGGCCAATATATAATATATCAAAGATTTGAGTTTAACAGTTCATAATGTTGTAAAGTCTTGGTCGTGGGTGTTCTTTTCAGTTCCATTTCGACATGGAGAGCGCATTGGCTTCAGTTATCTCATCTCACAGAAATATACCGGGGATAATGCAGCAATTAAAGTACTGCGAAATGCAAACATCTTAAAATTTGACATTAAACTTGAAACTCACAGAAGGCTTATTCCATCACATAGCAAGGGCAAGCCTCCCTCGTATTATATAATTGCTGGATTTGTTTTTACAACTGTTTCGGTTCCATATCTTCGTTCTGAGGTCAGTGGTTAATCCAGTATCCGTATGCTTTTAATATATCAGCTATTGGGTGTCTTGGGTGATGCCTTTTGTTTTAGCATTTTTTAATTGATATGGATGCTCTTGCAAAGTTTCTGCTTCCAAGTGAAGGTTTAGTACGTTTGCGAACTCGACAAACTTAACCTGATCTGGTATTTGAACTTGTGGCATATCCATGCCCAAGTGGAAAATATTCATTATTGCTGCATGAAACACTGTATCATGATTCATGAGAACATTGAGTTACTTAGAAATTAAAATTATTTAATATCTATAAAAATGTTATGCAGAATAATTTGGATTTTGTAGAAATATATAAAAAAAATATCATGCCATGTTATAGTTTCTGTGCAAGGAATGACGTGCTGTCGAACTGGTCATTGTGTTTATTGCAATAAAAAGTTGTCATTATTTCGGTAATATTGACATGTAGGATTTTGAAATTATATGTATATAGGTAGAGCTGTCAAAACAGGTAATCCGGCTCGACCCGGCCCGACCCATCAAGGGTTGGTCACTTAGTGAGTCAAACCAATCCGACTCACTTATTAGCGAGCTGAAAAAATTCGAACCCGGCTCGATCCACCACGGGTTGGTAGGTTAAACGGGTTGGCTCACTGACTCATTTAATTATAAGTTTTTTTTAAATAAAAAAATTATTATTTTTTAATTCAAATCTAAATAAATATCACTCTAAAACGATGTTAAACTCCAAAGACAATTCAAAATAAAAAAAAGTATCATACAATCCAAGCGTAATTCAAAAACATGTACAAAAGGCGAACAAATAAGTTTTTAATATTGTTAATTTTTGTCTCACTTGTCCATTTATAATATTAGAGTCTTAAATAGATAAATCTATAATATTTTTCTCTCTTGAAACATCTTCTTTATCACTATCTACAATATAAAAAAAAATGCTAACTAATAATATTGAAACACAAAATAATAAATAATTAAATTAAATTAGGTGGGTTGGTGAGCCAACCCGGCTCACCACGGGTTCAACCCGGTGAGCGGGTTCTAAGTAAGCCGGGTTGAAAACTAGTCCGCATAAAAAAATTACATTTTTTTCAAATCCAACCCGGCTCAAATCCGTGGTGAGCCGGGTTAGCTAGCAGGTTACAACCCATTTTGACAACACTTTATATAGGTTTCACTCTAAAGTTTCATTACATGAGAGTGTATATAGCAACTTGTACCTTTTTTTTTTTTAATTTACTTCACTTTTGGCACTGACTAGTAAATTCATTTATTCACCTTGCATTTGCTAACTTTCTTGTGGATGGAGCCATTCCTTTACAACCCATTTTATCTTCTATGAGCAGTATGGAAAAGATTATGAATATGAAGCTCCAGTCAAGCTTTTGGATAAATTGCTGCATTCAATGCCACAATCACCAGATGAACAACTTGTTGTGGTCTCTCAGGTATGTTTTCTGTCTGTCTTTTCCTTCTGCTGTTTCTCCTAAGGATCTTATGAAATTGAGATTATCTCTTTGACACTTTGAAGGTGCTCGTGGCTGATATCAACATTGGATATGAAGATATTGTTAACATCCAGGTTGTTAATGGTTATGTTCCATTTTTTTGCTTTCCTTGCTAACAGCTATATTGGCTTAACCACTCAATTGTTTACCGCTTTTTATTCTGTATATCTATGAAGGTCCTTGGTTTCAATGGTAAACCAGTGAAAAACCTGAAGAGCCTGGCCACTATGGTAGAGAGCTGCAATGATGAATATCTAAAATTCGATCTAGATTATGATCAGGTTCCCTAGCCATCCTTCCCCGTTTTATGTGTTTGTGTGAAAATGGAAGTAGCTTTATAACTAAACTAACTAATCGTCTTGAATGCAGATAGTGGTCCTTCGCACAAAGACTGCAAAAGCAACTACCCTTGATATTCTTGCAACACACTGTATTCCATCAGCGATGTCTGATGATCTTAAGTCATGATCTGGATCACAATGTGGTAGATTATGCATCACTATCTCAAGTTATTATTTAACCGGGTAACAATGATGCAGATACGTAGGCTTGACATAAATGGTAGTGGGAGTAATGTTTTGTTCAATTGCTAATACTTGTCGTATATCCTCGTGGTTCCGCATTTTGAAAGGGGATGAGAGATAGAGTAAGCAGGATTTACATTAAAATTCATTATCTTCTTATACATTACCTTTTCTCAAATTTTGAGGGAAATTAGAGAGATGTAAAGAGTCATTAATTTCACCAGTGTGACATATACCAGAGAAGGCAACGCACAATAGAAACTAAATATTAGCGGCGAAGGTTCAAAACCATATTGCATGTTTGGTTTTTCTTCATTTGAAAGTTTATCCACCTCCTGAGAATAAAATATTTTAGCTTCTGCTTCTTATATATTATCTTGACGAGCTTTTTCTTGTTAGCTTACATCCTCAGCAGGATGTAAAACATACTGAAAGATTGTTTCCCACATTAACTTATCCCTACAATACTATGTAAAATCCATGGCAATTTTGGCTGAACAAATCATATTAAAAGAAGGGAAATGCAAAGCTGATGTACTGCTGCAAAGATCACGCTAGACACTATTAAACAGACAAACAGAAAATTGAGTTAGAATGTCAAAGTAAATTTCTGGATTGGTTAACGATCGACATGTATCTTAAAGAAAAAAATTTCTATTCGTGAGTCACTAATTTAGATATGTACAGATTGCAATGGAATGAATTTTTAAAAGTATTGAATCTCAAAATACCCATACCAATGTATAAGAATGTTTGTTTATTAATTTCCGTTTAAAATATAAATAGTTTTATTTTCATTTTAATTAAAATAAAAAATAGTAAAAGATAAAGAGATAACATAAAATTATATGATTAAGAGATTTCCCTTAAAGGATATTCATCACAGTCAACCATATTAGCCTTCTATTGCCTGTTTGGAACTATCCAAAGTGCAATACTGTTATCTTGTAGTCAGGGATTCAAATGATTGGAACATGAGCACCGACATTGAGCTCATCTCTATATTATATTCAGTAGCACGTAAAAACAACCTAAAAACCACTAAGAGAAAAAGAAGACAAACCCAACATCACACCATATCTATAAAGACATAAAAAAAAAAAAACCAGCACAGAAACAAGTGTGCAAACCATTGCATGGTTAATTGCTAGCTCATTCGTCTGTGTGGAAACAATATTTGTCAGTGCTATTATCGGAACGGGTGTTTTTTCAGTAATGACTTGGTGCATAAAAAGGAAAGGACCTGTTTTTGTTAGTTTGTTCAAGCCTGTGGGGATTGCCATTGCTGCCTTTTCGAGTGTTATCTTCCTTGGTGAAACTCTTCCATATTGGCAGGTTACTCTCATTTTTCCAAAATTTTCTTTGCTATGTTATTCCATCTCGACGGGACCTTGTTCATAAATGTCAAACTATCCACAGTAATTGCATGTGTAAAATTTGCTTTGCTGACAGTACTATTTCTATGTTGAATTTGTTTTGTGTGTTTCCCTTTTTTAGTGTCCTAGGCGCTGTGATAATCGCCATCGGATTTTACACAGTATTGTGGGCACAATCCAAAGAGGAAAACGCAAAAGGCCTCCAAGTTGATGGACAATCATTGCCATCTTCTGAAGCTAGTCCTCTACTGGAGACAATAACTTAGAAGTGTTTTAGCATAACCATTTACTCGTGTATATTAGTTTACCTTCATAGATGGATTCAACATAAACGGGTGTGGTGAAAGAATCTTTGTCTTTCAGCAGAGTTCTTCACCAACCAATATATATAGTTATTTTCTGCATTGACTGCTCTGGTGTATATTGCATTGGTGAAAGTAATAAAAACTCTTTACATTTGATCTGTTCCTTCATAAATTAAAACAGGACAGTGTTTCAAAGATAACTAAGAATAAGGTAAATCTTGCATACCAATTTTTCTCCTTTCAAAATGAGGAACCAATGGAGAGTCCATTACAGACTTGAAATGAAATATACCTAGCCAGTAAAACTTAGGAAACATCTAATGAAAGTTAAACAGTCATCAAACGCATTTACATCATTGTTACTGATTCTATGCATAGAATGACTTTCGAGATCATATGCAAAATTTGAAGAACATAGCAGTAATGAACCAAAATGAACTAGTAATTACAACCAACATATTCATATCATTTAAAGTGCATAAGCAAAAGAATGTACCTTCAGCCAGTCTCTTCTTTCAATCTTGTTCTCGATACACAATGGTATTGTATGCTGAAGAAGAGAGTAGGCTTAACATAAAAGATGCATCCAATTTATAGACTTTTATCTATCATAGAGTTTTTAAAGTTGAAACTGATGTGAAATTCATGACACATAATAATTGGTAACATTACTTTTTGATAATATAGAGTTAGCATTGATAAATGGATCCCAACAATCTAGATAATCATGTGAAGAAAAAAAAATAACTGAAGAAACTAAATATATGAACATAGTGATTTTTCTTCTAATAATAAATAATATTTTCGATGCTATCAGTTCCTCTAATAATAATGAGTATTATTCTGCATCTAAATGTCTCAATATATCATAAAATTTATTATTTGTATGTCTCAATATATCTTCATCCATAAACTCTTAGCTCTAATTAATCCATTTCAATTAAATGCCGTTTTTTCAAAATAAACAAATATGTGCATAAATAAATGAAAAAACATAAAATTAAATAAAAAGTTTAAAAATAAAAGTAAGTATAATGATGATGAAATTTTAAACCAACTAACGCTCTAAAACTAGATATACACACACTCTTTTAAATCATAAACTAATAAGATAACTTCAAAACCAAATACGAAGTCGAATGAAAATAACAATCAATGTTTTAAATTTTTTGGTTATAATTTTCCATAAGCTATTATAAAACATTATCAATGTGTAATCTTCTTGTCTCAGTGTAGCTACTAAGTCTGAATGAAAGAAACATATAACCTCCAAACTATCACCTTATATGTAAGAGCTAAAAAAATTTTTTATTTAAAAGATATCAAAATTTCCTTCTTCATAAACTTTTCAATAATCAACTAGATTTCTTGCCTATATACTTCCCAAAATATAAAATGCTGGACAGTTTTGGTGCCAAAGCTAACATTATTACCAGATTTTTAGTAACTAAAACAAATAAAATATGTTTGTGCTTCTTCTTCAAGATCATTTTCAAAAACCATTCAGTCCGTCAACTCCTCATCCTGAAAACATTATTCGGTAAAATGTCTTTATGTTAACTTCAATTAAACTTTGTTTGGACATAATCTTTTAAGATAATCTAAAATCCTTAAGTTTTTTATAAGTTTTAATACTTGTAATATAAAATGTAATATATTATAATTAAGATGACTTTTAAAAAATAACATTATACTAGTGAATAAAAATTTTAAAGTTTTCTAATTAAACAAAATT